TGTCTCTAAATAAAATACAAAAATGGCTGGGGATTTGGCTCAGTGGTTGATTGCCCCTGAGTTTAATCCCCAGTACCACCTCCGCCCCCAAAAAGAAAGAAAATTTCAGTAGAAAGATACAGTTTGAATTTTTTTTAAAGGAGGGTGTATAGAGGGATATATAACCTGTGTAGTGATGCTTTCCAATCAGCAAATTAAATGACACCCCGTCCCACTCCCACATCTGAGGAAAACACCAAGGACCCCAGAGGGTACATTTTGTATTACCCAGGCCTAATGGAAAATCCATATTTTGCATATTTTTCCTTTTGACATAAGTTTATGTATTGACTTTGGAGAGAAAAATCATTGTCTAATTGGAAAATTGTCGCTTAGGATCATATGTGCATTTAACAAATGATCTTTCTGTTTTAAAGTTTTAAATTAACTGTTTCTTTTTGAAAAGTCTTTATTTTAAATTTTTGTTTCTCTATTTGGTTAAATGCCTTTTAATCTTCCAACTTTTTTTTTTTAAAGACATAGATTCATTATTTACCTCAATCAAATGTTTACACATACTATAAGGACACGGTATATAGAAGTCAGTTATTGGAAGTCACTTGTGTATGAACAAATATAGTCCTGAATCATCTTACAAATGCTATAGCCAGTGTATTGACATTTTCAGTGGGAAGAGTTAGATGCTCATGTAGTTCTTGAATAAAATGACGGTAGGAAAAGGAATAGATGATTGACGTCCTGATTTGGTTTACGAGACTCCTATATTGAATTGACTTATCAAGAATTATTATGTATCCAGTTTGTTTTTCTTATGTTTCTTCATTATGGAAATTCCGATCATACCTGCTTTTCAGTTGTCTTAATAATAATCTTACATATAAATTATATGAGAAATAGGGGCTGCGGTTGTAGCTTAGAGTGCTTGCCTAGCATATGTGAGGTACTGAGTTTAGTTCTCAATACCACATGAAAATAAATAGCCAGGCCTGGTGACTGAAGCAAGGGGATCGTGAGTTCAAAGCCAGCCTCAGCAAAAGTGAGACTCTAAGCAACTCAGTGAGACCCTGTCTTTAAGTAAAATGTACAATAGGGCTGGGGATGTGGCTCAGTGGTGGAGTGCCCTGAGTTCAATCTGCTGCACCCCCCTGAAATTAATACATGCATACATATATACAGTAAGTATGTAAGTAAGTAAAGGTGTCCATCTACAACTAAAAGGAAAAAAAAAAACCTGGAGAAATAACTGAGCCTTCATTGTTCTTTAAAAATTGTCCTTAGGAAAAATAGATTACTGCCTTTGTTCCCCTTGTCTTTTTTTAAACACCACATCTTGTTCTGTTGCTCAAGTTGGTTGCAAATGATCTTCCTGCCTTAGCCCAGACCATAGGCATTTACCATCACTCCGGATGTAGATTTCTTTTAAATTGTGTCTCTTTTAAATTCCTTACTATTTAGAAATAGCAAGGAATTGTAATTAAATTAAATAAATAATTTAATTGATGTTGAAAATACAATAATCAATGTGCCAGGTAAATTTAAAGTCTACTTTCCTAAAATTATTGGTGAATACACCATTAATATCTTTAATTTGGACTATTTTTGGCAATTAAGTACTATGTATCCTGTGTTTTGATGAATGGTTGTGATTTTACTTTTAACAAAATTGTGAAACATTTTTTCTTTTTGGTGGTGCTGGGGATTGAACCCAGGGCCTTGTGCATGGCCTTGTGCATGGGAAGCCAGCATCTACCAGCTGAGCTATATATCCCTAGCCCCCAAATTGTGAAATTTTTAAATTAAAATTGATGTCCTCTGGGTTGTCAGCTTAGTAGGACTGAAAAGCATTTGTGTATCTAAATTTGTGAGCTCACTTTTACTCAGGATCTTTAAGTCCTTAGTATATTTAATACACTGTACTGGAAAAATATACATTGCAGTTTAGGTTGACTTTTCAAAATGTGAACTTGCATTTTATAATTTCATAATTTATTTTCAAACCTGTTCCATTTTCTAGTTATTACTTTGAAAATAATATCATATTATTTTAAAACCTGTTCCCTTTTCTAGTTATTACTTTGAATATAGATGATTCAGACAGTTAAATTTTATATCTGGTTTCAGAATTGGTATAGTAACAGGGGATTACCAGAAAAGAATGTGGTGACATTTATAACAAATCTAATTTCTGTCACTATTTTTTGTACTTATTGTTACTTTATTTTTTGGTACTGGGGGTTGAACCAAGGAGCCCTTTATCAGTGAGCTACATCTCCATTTCTTTTAAGTTGCTGAAGGTCTTGTGAAGTTGCTGTGAGTTTGGCTTCAAACTTGTGATTCTCCTGTCTCAGTCTCTTGAGTTACTGGGGTTATAGGTGTGTGCCACTGCACCTGTCAGGGTTATTTTATTTTAGACTATAATTACCATTCTTCAGTCATCTTTCTTTTCATTTTTATAATACAGACTTAGAACGTTCTTGTTGCCTCATTAATTATTTCAGTGGACTGAATTTCTTCTCTCAGCTATATTTATTTACTCTTTACCCATTGGTGTAAGAAATTTAGGCATACATAACATTGGTGGTATTATAATTAAAATCTTTCCCTTAATGGTTACTTTGATTTGTTGTAATTTATTAAGTTGATAAATCATATAACATTTTATACTTAGTCATCTGATGGCCTTGTGAATGTATTGGTTTCAGTATTTGTATTTGGTAACAACAAACATTTTTTTCCTTCTGTGCTGAAAATAAGATTATTTTGTTAACTTGAATTTCAGTGATAATATGGTATCCTATTTAGGATACTGTTTACTTAGAACTAGTAACACAGCTTTTGCTTCATGACCAATAATAATAATAATAATAATTATTATTATTGTTGTTGTTTTGTTGTTTATTTTTATTTTTATAACTAAAGCCAAGACATTTATAGGAGGCCTGTCAGTGACATGGTTCTATTTTGAAGTGCTTTTTTGTGGGTGGGGTTGCTTGGAATTGAAACTAAGTCCTGGTGCATTCAAAACATGCACTTTGTAACTGAGCTACACCCGTAGCCAGGATCTTGAGGCTTGGTCTCTTCTGCTTTGTTCTCTTTGTAGCCTAGCTCCCTCCATTTGGCTCTTACTGACATTACTTTATTTTCCTACGTTTTGAATTGCAATAAGTAAAAGTTCTGATAATAACCTTATGATGTTTTCATCTTGTGCCTTAGCATGTGAGAACTAAATAAAACTGCTGTGTAAATTCTTAGTTTTCAAGAAATATATTTGGTTTTCTATAAGAAAACATAGTATATTTCATTATTTTTGGAAAATAATTTTTTTCCCCCTCAAGCTAGGCTTGGACTCATTTGGGTAGATGGATGAGTCATTGTCCTGGCTATGAGATTTGTAGTCTTAGTGCAAATGATAGAAACTACTATGGGTCATTTCTTGTAGCTATTGTGCTTGAGGAAAGTATGAAGCAAAATTTCACGAAGACAGTATCTGCAGATAGCTTTTGAGTAGTATGTTTGAGAATACCCTAAAAGAGCTTAAAACTGCAGCAGTTTTGTACATACAGTACTAGAAAGAGAATTTTGTGTCTCATACTTCTTAGGTATAATAAACTTAATTATAATAAACTTAAAATTAACTTTTATTCTGTGAAGATATATATATATATATAATCTTCATTTTCAATTGACTATTTCCCCTTTTGAGGATCTTATTAAACTGAGGAGAGTAATAAATTTGGTTTCATTATGAAACACTCACTTCTCACTTTACCCACAGGGAACAAAGCCTAAACTAACAGATCCACTTAAATTATATTTCTTTATTAGTCCTTCAGAAATTTTAAAGTTTCAAACTACCTGGACAATTATTTTGGATATTAAATTAATTTATCACTGGGGTAGCACATAGGCTGAGCATTCCTAATTTGAAAGCCAAAATTGGAAGTGTTCCAAAATCTGAAACTTTTCAGTGTTGACATGACACTACAAGTACAGCATTCCATGCCATGAAACTTTGTTTCATGCACAAAATTATTTAAAATATTATATAAAGTTACCTTCAGGCTGTGTATATAGGGTATTTGGGAGACATAAACAATTTCATGTTTAGATTTGAGTCCTAGTCCCAGGGTGTCTCATATCTATGCAATATTCTGAAATCTGAAATCCAAAGCTCTTCTGGTCCCAAGCAATTCAGATAAGGATACTCAGCCCTTAGAAATAGAGCAGTGCTCATAATGTATTGAATACCTGACATATTCCAAACCCCATGTTGATGGGTTATAATATTTAATTCTTTTTTAAAAAAGTATAATTGCCCATTATTTTGTATAATTACTATGTGTACATTTGGTATGTACTAATTGTACAAAAGTATGGTTTCATTTTGACAATTTTCATACATGGATATTATATACTTCATTGGTATCTGTCCTTCCTAATACCCTTCACTTACCATCCTCTCGATTTTATTGAATTCCTAACCCTGTGAGATTAGCAGTGTTCTCATTATTTCCATTTCACAGATGTGGAAAATGAAGCTCAGCAATAGGTTAAGTGATTTAGTCAAGGATACCTGCTGTCTTTCTGAGCCAAGATTTGAATCTAGATCTCTTGAGTCCCAGACCCATATGTTCTTTGTTTTATTATTGTTGCTCTTCCTCTTATTATTCTAAGTGAATTGGATTTACCAGTCTTACTTCATTTGGAAAAAATTGTTTAGATTTTTCATAGAATGCAGCAGGTGCTGTTTGGGGGCATATTAATGAAAGAATATCATTTTTGCTTCCACATTCTCACCCCAGTGTTTACTGTCTTTACGATCTCTGAAGATTATGACAAATAAGAAAAATGTAGAGCCTTTAGAAATCCCAATCTTAAATTTTAGATCTTATAATCACTGCCACTTGTTGTTAACCTCAAGAAGTTTTATACGCTACTCATTTTCTGTTCGTCTTTCCGCTAAAATTTGTGGGATTGTATTGTTTTTGGTCCTCATGCAGCAGTGATTCCAGCAGCAGTTCAAGTGATGACTCTCCAGCCCGATCAGTTCAATCTGCAGCTGTCCCAGCACCCACTTCCCAGTTGCTTTCATCTCTGGAAAAAGATGAACCCCGTAAAAGTTTTGGGATCAAGGTTCAGAATCTTCCAGTACGCTCTACAGGTAAAAATTTAAATGATTATACATTCCTCTGAGGTACCAGGGATTGAATTTAGGGGCACTTGACCACTGAGCCACATCTCCAGCCCTATTTTGTATTTTATTTAGAGACAGGGTTTCACTGAGTTGCTTAGCACCTCCCTTTTGTTGAGGCTGGTTTGGAACTCGAGATCCTCCTTCTTCAGCCTCCAAGACGGCGCTGGGATTACAGGCATGCGCCACCTCTCCTGGAAAAATTAAGTGATTATTGTAACTATATAGTTTAAGTCCTAATTTGTTATCCTTTTACATATATATATATCCTTGTACGTATATGTACATATATTGTATGGTGATAGTATTTATATACATCATATGTGTACATAAATTTATGTATACATTACTTGGTGGCCTTTTTGGGTGGATTGAACCCATGCTCACTCTATCTCTGAGTCACACCCCAAGCCCTTTTTATTTTTTGAGACAGGGTCTCACTAGGTTGCCCGTGATGGACTTGAACTTGTGATTCTCTTGCCTTAGCCTCCTGAGTAGCTGGGATTACAGGTGTACTTCACCATGCCTGGCTCATTACTTGCTTATTATATGCATGTATATGTACATTTTATGGCAGATGGTGTATAAGAAAGCATTTTTTAAAATAAATGTTTCTGGATTAAACATTTTGGTATTGAGGGAGATTTGGTATGAAGAAATTGTAGAAATACTATTTGTTATGTTGGCTTGAAGTCCTGTGTTATGTGAAATAACTTTGGGCATAACATTAGGATAAGAAGTGTGTATCAAAATATTAAACTTTGAATGAGGAAAGTGGTGAATAATGGGAAAGCCTACAGGCTGTGTTATAATCTCTCTTGCTCCTGATTGTTTTTATTTTACCGTGTACCATAATATACTGTTATTTCTACTTTAGGCATATTGAGTATGTAAATTTTAAGTTAAACTGTTAGTACACAGGAAAACCAACAAAGATCAAATTATGTATTTCTTAGTTAAGTACATTTCAACGATTGTTTAAAGCAACCTATAGAACTTACTAGGTTTGTGAATAAAGATACTTAGATGCAAAGTTGATGAGGTTTTAATTTTTAAAATTTTATTTATTTATTTAAAAGAATTTATTCTTTAGTTGTAAATGGATACAGTTTATTTTATTTTATTTTGTTTATTTTTTTTATGTGATGCTGAGGATCCAACCCAGTACCTCACACATGCTCAGCCAGTGCTGTACCACTGAAACACAACCCCAGTCCCTTTAATTTATTTTTTATTTCTCTTTTTAGATAAAAGTTGTTGAGTTTTAATTTAGATTTCTTGGTAATTTAGAAATGGAGGAGGGAGTAAAATTGGCTTGCCTTTTATTTTTATAATGAAGCAAATTAACACAAGATCTCCTGATGGAGTATGATTCATCTCTAAAAGGCATTCAAAGTATTCTTTTGGGTTTTGTTTTGTGCTGGAGATTGAATCCAGGGCGCCTACTAAATGTGCTGTACCTCCAGCCACACAGTGTTCTATCAGTGTTAAAGTTGTTTGACATGTTATTTGATGCTTCCCACATAATTTTGTCATTGAGATGATACCAGGAAAGCTGAAAGTATAGCATTTCTTCTTAAGTCTTTAAACTTTAATTTATTAATATATAGACATAAATTTTTTATTATAAAAATATTGAACATATCTAAAAGTAGAATGAATAGCAAAATGAGAACCTTTTCTACCTTACTACAGGTTCCGAAACATCAGCTCAAGATTTTATCCTATTTGCTTCATAAGTCTTTTATCTTCCTCTTTTCCTGATCTAGCTTTTATCTATGTATCTATCTATCTATCTATGGCAAGCCTTGAGCCTGCTAGATATGTGCACTATAGCTGAGTTATATTGTTTGAAAGACAAGTTCCCAACATTGTGCCATTTCACATTAATTTATAGATAGATATTTTTGACATTTCCCCAGAAAACAAATACCATTTTACCTAACAAATATTCAATAATATCATCTAACATTAAGTTTATTTTCAGACTTGTAATCTATTAAATACCAACTTAGAGTTACTTTTTTAATAAAGTAATATATTTTAAACATATTTATTTTTTAGTTGTAGCTGGACACAGTACCTTTATTTCACTTATTTGTTTTTATATGATGCTGAGGATCAAACCCAGGGTCTTGCACCTGCGAGGTGAGCTCTCTACCGCTGAGCCACAACCCCCACCCCTAATAAAGTAATATTTTAATGCTAAAAAAGTTTAGACCAAAAATCTGGCCAAAATATAGTAGCTTACTTATTGAGTTGTAATTAGAAAAGTTAACTTGTTTTTCTTTGGGGATTTAGATACAAGCCTTAAAGATGGCCTTTTCCATGAATTTAAGAAATTTGGCAAGGTGACCTCAGTGCAGATACATGGAGCTTCTGAAGAGAGGTATGGTCTGGTATTCTTTCGGCAGCAAGAGGACCAAGAAAAAGCATTGACTGCATCTAAAGGGAAACTGTTCTTTGGCATGCAGATTGAAGTGACAGCGTGGATAGGGCCAGGTAAGAGACAAGGAAACAGAATTTCAGTTGCAAATTACATATACTGTTTGTATTCAAGTTTATGAGAAGTCATCATAGTATCCTGAATGTAGACACTATTCTGGTTTTATTCATTGACATACTTCCAGTGTCTTCTCTTTTGAAGGATGGTGGTATTTGCTGTTTACCTTAATCAAAAACAATGTATTAGGAAGGACAATTGTTTTTTGTTGTTGTTGTTGTTGCTGTAATGAGAAATGCTGATTTTTCAAAATCCAAAAGGTAGTGTTTTATACCCTTGTTGTGTCAGCCTTCCCAAAAGAATGAATTGAGTCGGAGATTTTTATTTCTGTAAGAATGAAAACAGAATTATCTTGAATTAAAAACTAAACTACGTGCTTGTATCATTTGAGCGACTGGTTTGACAAGTTTTAAGTTCCATTATGCCTAGCACAAATTGGATCTATTATTGTAGGTTACTTGACTTGGAAAGACAGTGACAGAGAAACTGGACTTATGAGTTGGTCACATTAAGAATTTCAAGGGAATGTTTTATTAGGTTGAACCTTCCTGTAAGAGCTATTGTAAGGCAGGAGGTCTCTGACATGGCTTGGGTCAGTGTTTCTCATGTTTCAGAAAAACTTGCAGTATTTGTTTCAAACTGGAGTTTTCGACCTCACCCTAGCTAACTGCTCCTGAATACATTCTCCCCATTCCCCACCCTAGCTAACTGCTCCTGAACACCTAAACTGCCACACAACACACACCCCCATTTGTTTTTTATTTTGAGACAGGGTCTTGCTGAGGCTAACTTCAAACCTTTAATCCTCCTGCCTTGGCCTCCCAAGTTGGTGGGATTATTAGGCCCTTACCACCACAATTGGTGGGAACACCTTATTTAAAGCAACTTGTGGGCAAATTTATAAAATAATTAATAGAAATATTAAAATTCTGTAGTCATCTTGTGAATCTGAGACAATTGACCATTAAAAAGACTTTAAGTGGAATTCATAGCCTACTTGAAGGGTAAACATGAATATCTCTGGAATGTTCATTTTATTTGACAATTAAGAGGAAAAAATATAATTTCCTGCTATGAATATTAAATGCTGTTTGCATATTAAAACACACAGAACTGTTAGAATGAATATACATAATTTTATGATGGAATGCAGGAATTTAGAGGAGTATTTCTTTTTAAAGGGTACTTTTATATTTATCTCTCCCAATTTTGAGAAGTACTGCCCAAAATAATACTGAGCTAAGGGTAACTCAGAAGTTCTCGTTGAACACATTTGGAGAAGATTAAAATGCTTGAGGAAGAATATTTAGTCTGCCATATTATCTTTATAAGTTTCTAGGATCAATCATAATTCTAAGTAATGAGGATCTAATCCAGGGCCATTTAGGAGATGAACAGTGATCTTCAGAGCATTGGAGTTAGCTTAAATTTTTTACTTTAAAAAAAAGTTTTTTTTTGTTGTTGTTGTTTTTTTTTACACCTAATTATTGGTACCCAGGAAATAGTATCGTTTAACTAGCTGCCAGTAAAAATTTTAAGAATTTTGGTTGGATCAAGCATAGAAAAGTCAGAGGAACTTTTACCAGATGGCACATTAAGTACTGGTGTAATAACATAATATTTAAAATCAAACAGATAAATGTTTACATATTTAAATAAATATATTTACTAAATATATACAATATTTAATATTTGAAAGCAGTTGAATCTGAGATTGGAGAACTGGTTGGAATTATGCTTTTATAATGTGAGTCATAAATGTATTGTATTCAAATATATTGAATTGATTATTTGGGACAAGGACTTTTGTAAAGAGCCAAATCTAGGAAACCTAGCTTTGCAGTTAGATCCTTAGTGGCTTCTGATGTCATACTTTGTTAGTCCTACACATAGCCTTAGCGTCTCCTAACCATGAAATTGCAAGATAAAATCGTTTTTTTTCCTGAAAATGTATAGAGCTTAAGACTTCGACTGGTTCTGAAGGTTAAGTAGATTAATTTAGAAAAAGCTTTCTTTGCTGAAGTTTCAGTCTTAACAAATTACCAAGCTGTTTGGTGAAAATAGAGTCTGTAATGAATTTAATGGATGCAAATCATGCTTTGCCTTTCTTATTCTGCCTTTTGGAATATAAATCTCAAGATATAGCTGACTTCAATTCAGTTTTCTTCTCTTAATTCATTTCAAATGTCTGCCCTCCATCAGATAGTTTCAAGAGACTGAATTGAGCTGAAAATGAGATCTAGCTAGACCCCTGTGGGATATACTGGAAATACGGAGACAGTTATTATGAGTCCCAGGCAGTTTGGGTCCCCCTGACTCTGTTAAATTACGTATTATTTGATGAAACTGATAAGATTAAGCTATCATTAGGGCCATCCAACCTGAGTTAGATGTGTTCTGGCTGAATTCACCTGACAGTTTTGAAGCACCACCCCCCCAAAGATTTTGTTTGTTTTTAATATTGATGTTATTGTTGACATCATCAATAATGTTTGGTGTCTGTCACTAAGTACTCTGTTTTGGTAAAGTTGATTAAATGTTTTTTTGTTTTTTTTTTTTTGGGGGGGGTGCGTGTGGCTTTGTTTTACATTAAAAAAATAATAGAGAACATGTAGTACTGTGCTATAATTATCAACAAAACCTTAAATGTTCCAGTCCTAGACCAAGTTAATAAGTGGAGCTTCAGAGAAAGGCTATGATTGAATTAGAAACTAAGCCAGGGCTTTTGATCATAAAAAATAGAAACCTTAAGGAACATTAGCTTCTTTGTCATTGGGGAGCTTAGTTTTCATATAGTTATTCTCATATCTAAAAGCTCTACATTTATTGTCCTAATTAATATGACAAATATTAAATGTCACATATCCTTAAAATATTAAAAAGTAAATGAAATAATGGAGCTGGGCTATTTTAAACTGAATTTTTAGTATGTATAGATTCATACTCCACATTGAGAGCCTGCTACATAATGCTCAAATAATTAAAAATTTTGTTGGAGTTTTAAGTCTGTTAGTGATTACTTTTATTATAAGTCCATTTAGCAGATTGAAATTTTATTCAATTTCAAGTCCATTTGCTATGTTAAAGTGTTAACTTTGTTCTGAACATTTTGGAGCAAGTTTGTTTAGCCTTTGTATTTGTGTTTGCTCCACAGTGAATAAGTGGTAGTAGCTATTCTGAAAGTGTTTATAGTATTTCAGTTTGTGTGACTATCCAAGCCCATTATTTTAGAGATTGTTTTAAAATGTAGAGTTTTTTCATGATGCATAAATGTACATTAGAATTTCCTTTTCTGTTTTACTCTGTCCCATCCCATTTACAGAAACAGAAAGTGAAAATGAATTTCGCCCCTTGGATGAAAGGATAGATGAATTTCACCCCAAAGCAACAAGAACTCTCTTTATTGGCAACCTTGAAAAAACCACTACTTATCATGACCTTCGAAATATTTTCCAGCGCTTTGGAGAAATTGTGGTATGTTGCTTTGATAATAAAATAACTTTAGATCTTCATCACAAAACATAGAAAGTAATTGGGTTTGGTGGCATATGCCTGCAGTCCCACCTACTTGGGAGGATGAGATAAGATCACTTGAATCTAAGAATTTGACACCAGCTTGGGCAAGCAGCATGGTGAGATGGTCTCAAGCAAACAATAAAAACAATGGTCCAGAAAAGCCCATTGTGTATTGTTCTATATGTGTATGTAAAAGCCTATAATGGGTATTTGTCTATTTTTTCCTAAATATTTTTTAGTTGTAGTTTGACACAATATCTTTAATTATTTACTTACTTTTATGTGGTGCTGAGGATCAAACCCTGGGCCTCACCTATGCTAGGCAAGAGCTCTGCTGCTGAGCCATAACCCCAGCACCCCTCTGGAAGAGAAAACATTTGTAAAATGAACAATAGATTACTCTTTGGTTATTGTGTGATTACAGGGCATATCTGGGGTAATGGATGTCACTGCTGAAAGTTCAGTTCTTTCTTTCTTTTCCTTTTTTTAGTTGTAGATGGACAAATACCTTTTATTTTGTTTATTTTTTTACATGATGCTGAGGATTGCACATGCTAGGCAAGTGCGCTCTACCACTAAGCCACAACCTTGGCCCTCAATTCTATTTTGAAGTTTTAATTAGATTTACTTTTTATATTACTAAAGTCATTTTAGATTTAGGGATAAAAGAATCTTTTTCTTTGAATCAAAACTTGAATCACTTATAGTGAATATAGTTTAGTCACAGCTTTATACTCTTGGATTTTTTTATTTCTTAATGTTTTTAATTGTAGATGGACACAATATCTTTTTTTTTTTTTTTTAATGTGGTGCCAGGAATCAAACCCAGTGCCTCACACATGCTAGGCAAGTGCTCTACCACTGACAAACCCTGGCCCATAATACCTTTATTTTATTTATATGCAGTGCTAAGGATGGAACCCAGTGCCTCATGCATGTGAGGCAAGCACTTTTCCTCTGAACTACAATCCTATTGAGAGCCACAGCAGAGATGGAATGGCTCCTGGCATTTTGCCAGAAGTAATGGTTGAGAGGCGAGCCATTAAGATGATGCTGGATTGATTCAATTGTATATAGACCCTTGCTGTCTGCCTCTGGCGCCCTACTTTGGAGTTCTTGTGGGGATTTCCTGAGAGTTGGTTGGTGAAGTTCCTGTAGAGGGAGTTCCGGTTGGTGTGTGGTGCCTAGGAGGGCCACTTGGGTGGTGTTCGTTGGCGGGAATTCGGAAAATAAAGTTTGTTCCTGCTTGAGTGATTTGTGCCCAGCCAGACTGCGGCACAATTCCAGACCCCTTTTTAGTTTTTGTTTTGAGATGGGTCTCCCTAAGTTGCTGAGACTGGCTTTGAATTTGAAATCCTTCTGTCTTAGCTTCCTAAATCACAGAGATTATAGGCTGATATTACAGTTTTATTCTGTGTTTAAAAAAATAGAGAAGTTATTTCTGTCTTTAAAAAAAAAAACAACTCATTAATAGTGAAAAAATTGCTCTGTTGGACTTGGGAGAGTAAAATTGTTTTTTGTAGCAACAGTTGTTAATCTTTGAGGGTGTGTGTCCATCTGTCCACCTGCCCATGCATGTGTTTTCATCAGTCTAGTCTTAGTTATACACTGTTGCTCAAGCAAATGATCCTTGTTTTTTTTTTTTTTTTTTTTGAGGGGGGGGTGTTGTTGTTGGTTGCTTGTTTTTTATGAAACAATCTAGTCTTGTGAATAAAATGTTTGTGGTTGATCTAAGTCTCATCTTACAGTAATTGATGACAAAAGGTAGAAGTGGTTTGTGGAAAAGGAGAAAACAAAAAAGCGTCTACACCAGCAAAACATTCATCCTTTCTTGTCCCGATTATTTTTATTTTTTTTTCAAGTTTTGTTTTGTTTTATTAGAGAAATATATAATTTCTTGTTTGACATTTATAAACCTGTGAATTGATAAAATGTTCAGATATTTTTTATTTGAATGTAGCTGCTACTTAAAGTTTGGAACAGTATAAAAAGGTGTCATTGAGCACATGGATACACTTATCACTAAAATTGCCAAAAATGGAAGAATTACTGTGTGTTGTAATACCTGTGATTCTCAGTAAGGTGGATATATCAGTATTCTCTTTGAAAACCATGATGTCACGATGAAGCAAATGCTGATGAGTGTCACTATTTATTTACTTATGAATGAGGCAAGGTCTTATATGTTATCCAGGCTGGTCTCAAACTCCTGGGCTCAAGGGATCCCCCTGCCTCAGCTTCCCAAGTGCTGGGACTGCAGGCTTGACTTGATAGCCTGTTACCATCTTTCCTACCCCTCAAAGCTACAGCCCCCGGCATTTTTTTTTTTTTTTTTTTTTTAAAAGCCAGAGTCTTGCTAAGTTGCTCAGGCTGGCCTTGAATTTCTGACTCTTCTGCCTCAGCCTCCTGTATAGCTGAGATTACACAATGTCTGGCTAGTGTTTTTTTGTTTGCTTTTTTTTTTTTTTTTTTAAACTAGGAATATAAACTCGGGCACTTGACCTCTGAGCTACATCCTCAGCATTTTTATATTTTTATTTTGAGATAGTGTCTTGCTGAGTTGCCTAGGGCCTTGCTAAACTGTTGAAGCTGACCTTGAATTTGCAACCCTCCTGCCTCCCAAGTCACTGGGATTACCGGCATGCAACACCATCCCTGGCCTGGCTAGTATTAATATTTAAAATGACACAAACTTTTGGGAAAATGACTGCTGGTTATTTATAACAGAATAACCTGTTTACTGAGTCAACCTACTGGTATTTGGAGATCATTTCTCTTTAGTGGAATAATCCTGTGGTGTTTTTGTTGTTTGTTTGTTTCTGTTTTTTTTTTTTTTCCTCCTTTCTTCAGTACTGGGGATTGAACCCAAGGGTGCTCTACTACTGAGCTATATCTCCATCCATTTTATTTCTTTTTTTTTAAATTTTAACCTCTTTTAATTAGTTTTGCATGATAGCAAAATGCATTTCGTTTCATTGTACACAAATGGAGCACAACTTTTCATTTCTCTGGTGTACATGATGTGGAGTCTCACCATTTGTGCAATCATACATATATCTTTTTAATTTTTAATTTTAACATAGGGACTTCCTGAATTGCCGGATCTTGAACTCAATATGTTTCTACCTCAGCCTCCCATCATGGGGATTATAGGCTGTGACACCGTGTCCAGCTCTCAGTTTTTATATTCTACATATGGTGGAAATTAATTCCTGTTTATCATTACTTCAAAGAATTTTGAGTATAGATGTACTGCTTTCTTTAAGATCCATTTGGTAAAAATGTACTACTTGTTTTGCTGTTTTAAGTTTGGAATGTTGGCTTTTTGGTTATTGCTGTTCTTCAGATTTGAGTAAGCCTCCTTTAAGGAGGCTTTGTAATAACGGTGCTTATTCTGCAGTTCATGCGCAGATCATTATTGTTAAAGTACAAGTTTTGCCATCCAACTGGTTTCTCTGGACCATTTTCAGTCTAAGCCTGTTTTATTCACCACCTCCTCTGAGGCAAGTTGGGAGTGTCAGAGATCACTACAGGTTTTTGCAAATTCCAAGGAGAAAAGAGTATTCCTTTGTAGAGTGTCTCTAACCCAGGGACAGTGTTCTGGTACATCTTCACAAAATAATAGAGGTATTTTTTCACAAAGTAGTTCATGTAGTTATGTATCCTTTCATTCTGAATATGTAGATTTTACCATATTTATCAATCTCCATCCTTGATATAATTGGTTATGTTGGTATATATGAGTGTTCTGATTCAGCACTGCATGTTATGAGGATTGAATTTGGGAACTCACACATGCTAGATAAACATTCTACCATTGACCACATGGTCAGCCCTTTTTATTTATTCTGAGACAGGGTCTTAGACTTGGCTTATTCTGATTTATTTTCTGAGTGATATTGACTTTTTCAGGATATTGATATCAAGAAAGTAAATGGAGTTCCTCAATATGCCTTCTTGCAATACTGTGACATTGCCAGTGTTTGTAAAGCTATTAAGAAGATGGATGGGGAGTACCTTGGAAATAATCGCCTCAAGGTAAATGAATTTGCATGACGTATTGTGCAGTTATGATTTGCTTTGTTTTTTGGATTAGGAGTTTTCTCCATATTTCTGATTATTGAAGATTGCAGGAAGACAGTTAGGTAAATGTAAAGGTGGTGCCTTCTGAACTAATACGTGGTTAGCCAGGCAGAATTCCTTTTTTGGTGAATTTCTATTTTCGTTTAACTGGATGGTTTCCACATAAGATTGATTTGAGGGGTTGGAAGAGTAGCTCAGTGGTGGAGCTTATGCTTTGTGTTCTGGGACCAGTTTTCTGAAAATTTTATAGAATAGTTATTGTAAACTTTACTAATAGGAATTTAACCTTTTATACTCAGCTGGGTTTTGGAAAGAGCATGCCTACAAACTGCGTGTGGTTGGATGGGCTTTCTTCAAATGTGTCGGATCAATATTTAACAAGACATTTCTGCCGATATGGGCCTGTGGTGAAGGTAAGTGAGGGTTATTTGAGTGTGGCTCAGAATCATATCTGATTTCCTTTTTCTTAGTATTCTCTCCTTCCATTCCCAATGTCTGGTGCTGCTTTTTCCATTTCTTTCTTT